GAGCAGACGTTTTATTAGACTTACAAAATTACTCGCGCAACCAAATTTACCCGATACCAGCCACAGTGATTCGAGGTTCCCCGTGTCAAATGCTTTGATGAAGTCACCAAACAGCGTGCATGATGTTTGGTGTCTCTCTCAAGTTATCCTGCAACTGACGAGCCGCGAACCCAATATCTATAGTGCTGAGGACCGAACGCAATCTGCATTGCTCTTCTGCCACGTGCGGTTCAACGACCTGAGTGACGAGGCGGACGCTCACCTTCCCCACAACTCAGGAAGTTAATGCCACCATTAAAAATGCCTACTAATGACGGCCGAGGCCATTGCGAACCGGCTAATGTAACCGGAACTGTGCAGACAGAAGACGCTAGTACAGGCGTAACATTTGCCCTGGCCCTGATCTCACCGTGAATGCCGCTTAATTCGATCTCAGGCAGTGACCCCGTGAACCTATGTGCGTTATTAGCTTCATCGATTGGTGAATCTTATCAACAGATAAAGCAGCCTGTTAAGACTGAATCAACCCTAGCCCAGCTATCTTAGCCTGTAGCAATTATAACCATTTGTATACATGCATTAGCCTAATGCATCGAATTCTTACGTCCCTGTGGGCATATTTCCCGAATTCCACGTAAATTCGTGGCAGCATAAGGGTATCCTTCAAGTCAGCCGGCACCTCTTATTCAGACCACACATGTTGTACCAAGTAGTGCAGCGCATGCCTCAACGCCAGTCCGCCGTGTTTCGACACCTCTGGCGGTATCCCGTCGGCTCCGGCTCACTTGCCGTTTCACAGCCGACCAAATGCCCTCTATGTCCCATCCATTGTCTCTGTGTCAGAAAAAGATATATTCGTCTATTGCTGTTGCAGCCCGTGCAACGTAGGCCGGTCAATCACTTGACGGTGGTTCAAGAGACAGTCAATGTGCTTTCGCCAGATGTGCATAATGTATGCAGGCAGTGCCTGCAATAGTCTCGAACATTGTCCCTATCGGCTACGAGGTGGCTCCATACACCGGCGTTCGGCGTAGCATACCATCTGCTTCGTATTATCCGTCCACCACCCACTCTTGAGGCGACGGAGTTCTTGTGTCAGTCACCGTCAAAGTTTGCGAAACGGACTCTCCTCGGAGTCGGCAGGGTCGGCCACATGTGCAGCGAATGCTGCATTCTTCTCCGACACCAATGCGCCAATGGTCGCACTGTTGTCATCAAACCAATCGGGCCGCTTACAGTTTGCGCGCCCGATGGTTTCCTTGACCGCAGCCGTCACCAGTTCACGAATGTGGCACCACAGGTCGCCGACTGATGCAATGCAGTCGACATCGCCAAGGCGAGTAGTCATCGCCTTCTCCAGCTCCATTCTACTCTCAGCAGTACCTCGGGGAAGTACATCAAATTTCTGCAGATTCACAGCAGCAGTGTGATACATAGATTTACGAAAAGGTATGTACGATTTGATTAGCACCAACCTGTGATCAGTGTGACAATCAGTTCCACGCGATGCGTACGTATCGCTATACTAACTGCACTGCGCACTAACGCACTGATGATGTCACCTCGACTGATGACGAAACGTATGCACAATAATTGCCAAGCTCAGAGAACAGTTCATCTAACAAGCGAGCACACCTGGTTGGATACGCTGTCGGACATGGCCCGAAATTGTATCCAGTGGTGAGCATGCTGTAAGATACTTTTCCCCTGACTGCTTTTTCTCCCATATTTTAATGCTGCTTGTGATTAGGTTGGCTGCTGGAGCACCGTATTAATGGTGGATAGCTGAACATCCACCTTTTCGGGGCGAGAACTCTAGTGTGTGAGACAATCACCTGTATTTTGCTGTTTGCCGACGACTGTACGTTGTTTGCACATAGAACGGATGAGTAGCAGCGCATGACGACGGCGCTCGTTTGGACAACGGCCAAATTCGGGCTCACCATAAACACAAGCAAGACTGATTGTCCTTTCCAGCATTCACCAGAAATAGAGTCCGTGGGCCTGCCCCTAATCCAGGTTGCTGATGACGTGTTGCAGACAAGAATGTTTGCTACCTTAGGAGTGTAACTTCTATCGACCCGCAGATAACGAGCGAGATGCGCATCCGCGTAGCAAAGGCGGCTGCTGCATTGGGCAAACGGGAGTGTCGTGTGTGGTGGAAGCGTCAACTTATGGTTGGAACGAAGCTGAATGAGTAACGGTCTATGGTTGTGATAGTTTGTGCGACTGAGTTAGCAGCGGAATCCTGGCACATATGCGTACTTGCAGTGACTCATGCTTGTCGCCTGATCGCAAGTTTGCATTTGACTGTCCCACTATGTCCGTCATCCAGTTCGCATTTTCGTACCGTGTTATAGTTACCCAGTGGCTTCTCACCAGTCTGTGACAGTGTGTGAATACGACCCTCACTGACTACATGCGATTGGCTGAAGTGACCACTGCACAACTACTGTGTGTAATTCCAGTGCTTAACTGGTTTTAACCTTCTGTATTCCTGTTGCATATGAATTGTCCAATAACTGATACCGCTTACAATTCTTTGACTTCTCCTAGGTACGGATCTTCGTTACCTGCGCGGTATTAGTTTGATGCACTAAGAATGTTGCATTTCATGGGTTGGTTGTTGCTTGATATCCACGGGGTGGCTGCGCTTGATTTGAATGTTTACAAGGTGCCTATGTAGCGTATAAGTCAGATGCTCACACCCAGCATTGATTGTCCCTACTTGTGTGCGTGTGTCTGCCTATCGACTACACACTCACCAGTGACTTGGTTTCAGCCACTTGATCGATGCTCTGTACACGTATTGCCAGAACACACATTGCGTGCTTCAAGCACGGTGTGTACAGTTTGCGTTGTTCATCTACGAGCCATTATTGCGTTCGCATGCTTGCATTAGTTCCGCACATGTAGATTTTCGCATTGGCGACGGAGTCCTTACCTGGAGTTATTCGTTATGAGTCACCTTATTCCACCTGACCCGTTTGGAAAGAAGCGAGTTCCAAGTCATCCCGTGCAGTGCGCACTCGACGAGAGAGAAGATACTGTGACTATCTTGAACCCTTTAGAATTACAAATCCTCATATGACCATTACTGGTAAACTGTTGAGACAACACTTGGGTGCAGAGGGTCAGAGACATTTCAATGGCTACGGTTGTATGAAAACACACAGGGTCTACAATCTTTGAATGGCCTTTGGTCAACAATAACATGTGTTTACTGCACGACTAAGTTTTTCCCAACTACGGCATGGGTAAGTAGATGTTAACAAATTTATAACCGCATACAACAGTCCCTGCCTGATTGCCGTTATAATGAGATTCCGTCCACGAAATTTGAAGACGTCGTGGCTATGCAATGTCTTCTGGTTGGCATTCGTGACAACAAGGCCCGCGAACATCTACTGTCGGAAGACGAGAACAAGCTTACTCGGGAAACCGCATGCACATTGACGAGGCGAAGAGAAAATATGGTTCGACAATTAATCCGCTATCAACACGATCACCCTTCAGGTGTGATCCACGCGGTCAACAAACATTGAGCCATCAAAAACCATGGTAATCAAAGGTAGGTACAGTTATCGCAAAAACAAAGCCAACTGCAACATAGGGTAGTGCTCTTAGAGGGATTGGTGCTACCCGGTTACCGAAACCGAAGTAGAGATTCGACATTAGGGACATCCCGAAAATTTGGCTAAATAGCCTGCCCTAAAAGCGGCGGAATTAAGTCAGGGAATCGAACTCAGTAGGAGCCACTGGGTGATCTTGCAATGCATACGCTTATGGTTCCGTGAGTTGCCAGACGAAGGCCCAATACCCCTGTACATGTGCTGGTCTACAATGCTCCATGGAAGTGAAGCAAGGGATGGTGCATATAAGGTGGCGAGCAATACCCAACATACATCTGCTTCATTTACGATCCCAGTGATCGAATCAATCAAAGTTCACTACATGACTTATCGCAGTCCACGATATTGGGAGTCGCAACCCATTCACACAATTAGTGCTAGAAAATGTCTCCCTCCAATCAAGGGGTGGAGAGTCACATTCGCCACGCCACAGTAATGATAAAATGACATTTATAGCTTTTAAGGGGCGAAAACCCACCACATCTTGATGTCCTCATGGAAGAATGAAACAGGCTACAGTTTCCCCTTAACGGGCGGCCCCGACGCCGAACGACCACATTGGGTGAACCCAGAGAGTGGCGGATGGAACGGTACAATCGAGTGATCCCAATTCAGAAGCTAGAGAAGCGGAGCTTATCTTCTGCAATTCGTTAGACTCCGGAAAAACTGCTTTCGAGAAGAGAGGCCGAACCCCCCCCCCAACTGACACCACGAGTGGTAGTTCGACAAGCCATTCCTAGACGGATTTGGTTGTATCCCAATTACGTGTCATGATTGTGCTCATATGATATGAAGGGCAGTTGAGCAGTAGCCAGACGTATGTAGGATGCTTTGAACTCTAACGCTAGCATTCTCAATCAACCACTGACATACCATAGATGGGATAATTAGGCGGAGGTGGACGAAAACAAAGCCGTAGAGAGCTGATACTAAGGATTTTTGGAAAATCACAGTGATCAGGCCGTCGCATCAAATGGTGCAGACCAAGGTAAACTGGGTCATAAGGCGGAAATATTTTTATAAGCATTGATTCAGTTGCGTGATGGTGGAAGCCTTAGTAAACTGGAAACGAGTTGCTTTAAATTGTGATCTTGAATGCCCAATGTGGGCTTCAGCATATGGCGAGGCAGAGTGGGAGCTCAGCGCTAAAGTGTTATGAAATCCGTGAGGTCATCCTCCTCAGTCATCCAGTGCGCTTGCTTCAGCGCGCAGGATAAACGATCGAAGATAGGATAAGAATTATGTCTGACTGAGTAGGACAGAGGCAATCACTTTCTGATCTGGTTAAGCGGCATGATCTCAGTCAGAAAAGTGCTGTCCCTAGCCTGATGATGAGAGTGAGATATTCATGGGGACCGTCATGCTCACCCTAGAATGACGTTTTCGGGGGAGGATGACGGATTCATCTTCACGTCAACATGGGCCGCGTCACCAAGCTTCTCTACTCCTACAGTGGGAGTAGGTTGAGTTACAACCCATCGGGAAGTTGACAACGTTCGTTTGACACCCTTTGGCAAAGTAGGGCCGGATGTAACTGGCCTGTGCTGCGATTGACGAGGAACAAAAGCACGGTGAGGGCGCAAATGGTCTCGAATGTGGGCTCTCATTGCACTGGATGTTCTCGACTTCACGTTCAATTCAGAAGGCCGATTGGACTCTTCAAGCGCCGACTCCAAGAAAACCGACGGTTTTAGTTCCTGCGGATGGTGAGTAGAACAAAGCTCTTTGTAAATTAAACCAATCACCAAGTCCGATTGACATGTTGTAAGATGGATTGCTAGGAAATGTAATTCTAAACGAAAAATTTGTGAGGGTTAACGGCAAGATAATAGGGGAACTGCGATCGAACCGAACACGAAAACAACCACTGGTAGACCGAAAGGCAGACAGTGCAAACGAAAGGAAAGCGCTGAGTCCAGTTGCTATACTATTCACTTTTGGGGGCAACTCAAATTCAAACGACGCACAGCTACCGACAGCAGAAGGGTCGTACAGAGTAACAGTTACTACGAATCAACAAACACGGTAGCAGAGCAAAATGGCTGCGCAGAAAATGCATTTGAACACGAACACACCGGACAGAAGTGCTGAATGCAGAGAAGAATCTGGAGAAATTTGGAGCGTAGATCTGCACGCTTCTGTATAATGGCTTCCAACTGGACGGAAACCTGCGAGAAGAGACAAAAAATGCTCGCCACAAGACGGCGTTCAGTGTCAATGACCAGCAGTATGAGTTTTTGAGAATCCCGTTTGGATTGTGCAACGCCCCAGCTACATTCAGGCGTTTGTTGCTGATGGTCCTGGCGAACGTGCAAGGCGTGGTTGTTTATGGCGATGACATCATCATCTTCTCTGAGACGGAACAGGAACATGTGACCAGACTTGGAGCAGTACTGCAGAGACTGGACGAAGCTGGTCTGAAACTCAGTCGTAAAAAGTCGCAGATTGGCCAAAAGTCAATTGTATGCTTGGGTCACATCGTGGGCAATGGTCAAGTCCATCCACTTCCGGAGAAACGCGAGACGATCGAGTGCTTCGCAAAACCAAAATCCAAGCGTCAGCTCCGTTCGTTCTTGGGAGTGGTGGCATATGATTCAAAGTTTGTGCCCCAGTTCGCAGAGAAGGTCAGCCCGTTGTTAAAGCTGCTTCGCAAGGACGTGCCGTTCGTGTGGACAGCTGAAGCGGATCAAGCCTTTGACCATCTAAAGGCATGCATAGCAGAAGCCCCGACATGTCTACGGCTACCCAATCCTGGTGAGAGGTTCACTGTGGCTGTCGACGCAAGCAACGTGGCAATCGGTGCGGTTTTGTCTCAACCGGCTGGGGTGGTGGAGTACGCGAGCAGAGTGCTGACGGAGGCGGAACAGAAGTATTCAACAACGGAGAAAGAATGCTTGGCCACCGTGTGGGCGTTAGAGAAGTGGAGAAATCACTTACTGGCGAATGAATTCCGGGTCGTCACTGACCACAAACCGCTCTCGTGGTTGATGACGGCGAAAGACCCGCGGGGACGGCTTGCGCGATGGGCCTACCGATTGCAGGAATTCAACTTCATCATTGAACACGTGGATGGGACGCAGAATGTATTGCCAGATATGTTGTCACGCCCGTGTTTGGACGACATCATGCCCGACAATGCCATACCAGTGCGTGCGTTCGCGATGGGGCAGAGGAACCTGCTGGGAGATCAAAGGACAGATGGATTCGTGAATGAGCTGTGCTCTCACTTACGGGCTGGCACCAAACCGGAGGCTACATCGGAGGAGGTGGAGGAACTCCTCAAGATCTGGGACAGGTTGAAGGTCGAAAACGATAACGTGATGGTGGCGATAGACGGACGGAAATTGCCTTTTGTTCCACCAAATCAGCGAGAACGTGTGATGCGCATAACTCATGATGGCGCCCATATGGGATTCGAGCGGGTCTTTGAATTGCTGCGGAGGCGAGTGTTTTGGCCAACCATGAGGAAGGACGTCGCGGCATACCTTCGGGAGTGTCCAAACTGCCAAACGAGTCGGAAGATGGAGTCCCCGAGACCGCCGATGCGATCGATGGAGGTTGGTGAGCCACTTCAGTGTTGGGGACTGGACGTCTTTGGGCCCTTACCAGTGAGTCGAACAGGAAACAGATACATTCTAGTGATGATTGACCACTTCACTCGATGGGTGAAAGCCATACCAATCAAGGACCAAACAGGCGAGACAGTGTCGCAAGTATTCGAATTCAATGTGCCTGCAAGGTATGGGATCCCACAGTGTATCATCACGGACCAAGGGCCCTGCTTCGAGTCAAGAGCGTTTAAGTCAGTGTTGGGCAAGTGGGGCATCCAGAGACGGCGAACTTCACCGTACCACCCACAAACCAACGGGATGACCGAGCGGTTCAACCGGACATTGAAGACGTGATAAACTGCACAAAGTTGGCACGGGAAGATGCTTTGCCTCAGGTTCTGATCGCGTATCGGACCAGCATGCAATCAACCACCAAGGTCTCGCCATTCGAATTACTGTTCGGCAGAGAACCACGGATTGCGCTCGATACTTGCCTACCGAACCAGGGTGAGCGGGAACATCCAGCTGGGCATCAAGAGCGACTGCGAGGGAAAGCTAGAAGCGAAACCAAAGCTCGACAAGCGCGGAATAAGCGAAATTACGACGCCAGGCATGAGGCTCACAAGTGGAGGCCATTCAGGGTTGGAGCACGGGTCAAGTTACGGAACAACGACCGGCCGGATCATGACGGGCCGGGCGCAAGCAAGTTCAGAGAACGCTGGAAAGGCCCCTACACCATTATCGACCAGAAAGCGGGCAACTTCTTAATCGACTGCGGAGGAATGAAACGTTCGGTAAATGCTGCTCTCCTGCGACCATGGTACGAGAGGAAGAAAGGTCCAGGAAACGGGGCGGGTGTAGAGGGGCCGCTTCCAAGAATGGCTCTGGGGAGCTCTTCGGAGCTAGCTGAGAGCGGATCGCGAAAGACGGCTAGCGACGAGCCTGGGCCCGGAACTACGGAGCGGGAATATGTGGACAGCGCAATAAATCAGACAAATACGCCGCTAGCGCAGCCCACAGGACCGAGGCCGAGCCGATTGACACAGCCCAGAACAAGCAAGTCGAGAGCTCTCGAACGACTCCTGGCCGATCCAAATCGGGTACAGAGAAGCGGAGATCGAGGCGAAAACAGGAAGGCGGGACTTCCAAGTCAGAGCTCCCGAGGCGAAAGGACTGGCTCGCCTCTAACATCCGTACCTGTGTTGCGTGGTGGGACGGAAATCTAGTCGATATTCGATGGCGGACGTGAGACCCTCATGTGCCCATTTTCGGTGTGCAATAAACGTCTACCCCCCTGTCTTGTCGTTCTCGCTACAGTATGATTCACGTACTGAGATGATCTACGAAGCAGTATGGATGCCAACAGTTTAGAGGCAACCGAAATAAGACTAGTCCCGCGATGATTTGCACATGAAGTACGAGCGCCTTTCTTGAAAATTGGGACGATAACTGATTCGCCTCAAGAGGAAGGCACTTTCTCTTCATGCCAAATTTTTGCGAACAGCGCGGTTAGCTGGTTAATGATCGCCACACCGCCGTACTTGAATAGCTCTAGAAAAGTCCGTCTAAGCCGGCAGCCTTGAAGCGTTTCAAGCGTCGAATATCGAGGCAGACTTCCGCTTCGCTGGGTGGATTCAATGGGACGAGCCAGGGTGGACAACAAGGTGTACTGCATGTACTGATGGATGGTGGAGGCCAGTTGAATTGCGAGTGAAAGTGCTCGGCCCAGCGGTCCATTCGTCTCTGTTGGTTGGTGATCAGAGACTCATTCACCTCACAAATGACCTCACTGACATCAAGTTTCCTGACGCCAGTGGACCGAATGAGTTGGAAAAGCCTGCGAGTGTTGCCAGAGAGGGCAGCAGTCTCCATCTCTAAAGCACGCTCAGACCACCATATCTCGCGATCCTTGCGTAGGCTTTGCTTGAGCAGCCGGTTGGCAGAACGGCGCTGCTCGCTGCAATCTGATTCCGCGGGGATATCTTTGCGGCGTTCGAACAGCTCCAGAGAACGAGCAGAGATCCAAGCCTTCAAGTGGCGTCGAGTTAGGCCGCAGCATGACTGTCCGGAAATGGTCATTGCCTTCCGTATATAAGTCCAGTGTTGTTCCTCTTCTTGCGGTGGGTTGCAACTGAGTGCATATGCCAGTGAAAACTGATAGCTCTCCTGGACAGAGGAATCAGTTAATATGTTGACATCAATCGTGCGGTGCTTCGTGTTTCGGGATCCTCCAAAACACATACAGATTTTCGAGCAGACCAGAGCATGATCTGAATCAACGAAAGTGGACCAAAAAGACCTGCAGTCCAGTACGCTACCGCGCCATCTGAAGCTAATTGCAATGTGATCAATTTGAGACCAGGGTTGTGTTGAAGAAGGGGGACGCCACGTTGCGCAACGCTTCTTCGTACGCCTGAAGTTAGTGCTCGAAAGAAACAGACGGTTGTCCTCGCACAATATGAGAAGTCTCTCTCCGTTATCAGAGCGGTTTTCATCGAGCGCGTGATGACCACCAAGGTGGCGTTCATATGGTAACAGGCGGCCAACCCGTGCATTAAAATCCCCAGCAAGGATAACGACATCCGACTTTTTAGCATTAGTCAAGAGCTGATGTAGACCTCGGTAGAATTCGTCCTTGACCGAGTCGCCACTGCAGTCAGTTTGAGCGTACACGAAGATCACAAACAAGTTGTGTCTCACTTCGCGGTGCCTGTTGATTCTACATGAACCTCGAAGCCGAACTGCACATAGTCGGCTGTTAATCGGGAACCAGTCCAGTAGTGCCGCCTCGGACTTGCCACTCAGTGATATACCTACACTAGCCAAACCCGCTAAGGCCGCTTCTGGATCTACAGAAAGAAGCAGGTGATATCTGGCTTCATGGTCAGCGGGGGATGTCAATGTAAGCACAGTGCTGGGATCTTGCAATCGAGTTTCTGAGAGGCAGCAGACATCAACGTCTACGGAATCTAGGGTGCGCGCCAGACCGGCTTGCTGTCCACTCTGCATGAGTGTCCGAACGTTGAAGCACGCCAGACGAAATGAGGATCAGGGACGAAGGAGAGCCATAGGTTGAACTCCTTGATCTGCGGAGCAACCGGAATCGCAGCCAGATTGTGGAACAGATGATTCGGGTAACCGAAAGTGAGGATTGTTAGCAAACAAACAAATGGCGTGTGATAAAGTAGCGTGAAAGTGAGTAGCAGGAAGAGTAGCTGATGAGCGCGTTGTAATACAGTCCATGGTTTTGTGAGAGGGCGTGACAGTACCCGGTTGCCCAAGCCGAAGTAGGGAGTTGACTTAGGGGACTCCACCCCGAGTCTTTGGCTAAATAACCTACCCGCAAAGCAGCGGGGCTCGCTCTTCAAGACCTATGCTGAGCACAAAGGCTTGTTATAGATTTGCCGATATTGCATCGATGTTGCTGCGTTGGCAAGACGTCCGCCACATCAACATCCTGAAAGACGTTTTTCAGCTCCTTCTGGTAGGCGTGCCAGAAAGCGCAGCATGACATCTCCCAACGATCCGCTACAAGTCACGATCAGCCCAGCCCTATCTACTTCTCATTCGGACAGTGACGCACATCCGGCCTGGTGAGCCTATGACAAAGTCAAATG